TTTTTTTTTTTTTTTTTTTTTTTTTTTTTTTTTTTTTTTTTTTTTTTTTTTTTTTTTTTTTTTTTTTTTTTTTTTTAATGAGTTTAAGAAATGTGGGTTGGGATCAAGGTAATAAATGTCGAGTCCATCGAGTTATATTCTCGAGAAATTCAAACTTTTAACTTCTAAAAGATAATAAGTGCCTGGTCCTTCGAGCTATATGTTCGATAAATAAAAATTTTCAACCTTTTAAAGATAATAAGTGTCTAGTTCGTAGAGCTATGCTCGAAAAACACAAACTTTCAACTTCCTAAAGATAACAGGCACATCGTCCATTGAGCTATATGCTCGACAAATACAAACCTCCAACATCTAAAAAATAACAAAACGTCAAATTCACACAAGTGGTAAACATAAACTTTCAACTTCATAAAGATAATAATTTCTCGATCCGTTGAAGTATATGTTCAAATCGACATCTTATATAACACCAAGATAAGGAAGAAAAAAGTATATGTTTTAATATACAAAAGAACATTGATTGATGTAATAATACCAAGTAATCAATGTCTCAAATATATTCCAAGATACAACCAATGGGGGAGGGAGAGAGAGAGGGAGAGAGAGAGAGAGAGAGAGAGAGAGAGAGAGAGGAGGGAGAAACCCTTTCTCTGTAATTATATCTTTCTTTTATATTATGAACTCTTTTTGGAGTTATTTCTCCAAGCTCCTAAATTTCACATTCACCAGCGGAATGGGTTCTGCAAAATCACAACATTAATCAACTACAGCTTTCCTTTTACCATGTCTTTGTAAAGAGATGATATAGCTTCCTTACCACCATCTTCTTCTTCTTCTTCTTCTCGATGTAGTCAGTCAGCTCGGCTTCTCGAGCAAGAGATTCCTCGAGTGCCTACAAAAGGTAATTCGACAAAGAATATGATAAACAATTGAATTTAATGTCATCTATCAACTTAAGCTTCGTGTTTTTAGCTTGTGAGGAAGGACAACGTTTCGAGTTTTTGGATTTAGTAATGATTTTTTGCTCGGTATCAAATTAAAGTTACGGTTTTCAAACCCACGTGGGAGGGAATGTTAAAGAGAACGAGAATGAGAGATGCTTAGTAATGTATTCGATGATTTACCGTAGTTTTAAGAGAACAAAAATGAAACAGCCCAAGTCCACCGCTAGCAGATATTGTCCTCTTTAGACTTCCCTTTAGGGCTTCCTCTCAAGGTTTTTAAAACACGTCTACTAGGGAGAGGTTTTCACATCTTTGTAAAAAATGCTTCGTCCTCCTCCCCAACCGATGCGGGATTTCACAATCCACCCTCTTTAGGGCTCAGTGTTCTCACTGGCACTCGTTGCCTTCTCTAATCGATGTGGGACCTCCAAATCCAACACCCTTCGGGGCCAGGTGTCCTTATTGACACACCGCCTTATGTCCATCCCTTTCGGGTCTCATCCTCCTCGCTAGCACATCACCCGATGTCTGGCTCTGATACCATTTGTAACAGCCCAAGCACACCGCTAGCAGATATTATTCTATTTGGACTTTCCTTTTTGGGCTTCACCTCAAGGTTTTTAAAACACGTCTACTAGGGAGAGGTTTTCACACCCTTATAAAGAATGTTTCGTTCTCCTCCCTAACCGACGTGGAATCTCACATATGGTGTTTCAAGTGAGAGGATGAGTAGGAAAGTTTTGGTTCACCTTCTTGGTTGTGTCTAGCTCTTGTTCCAAAGTTTCAACTTTCCCTAAAGCAATGTTGAGCATTTCCTCCTTATCAGCTGGCATCACTGCCGGCTGCATGTTGAGAACATTGATCCTCTCTTCTAGCTCCGCCATACGCTTCATCATCGTCATGTAATCGCTCAGAGGCACCGCGGCGGGGGACGGTAATGCTGGACGGTTCGCCATCGAACCGTCGTAGTAGACGGTGCTGCTATAGATGGCTGCCTCAGTGAGCTTCTTTGGCATGGTTCTTGTCAGCCGGACCATGGTCACTATTCCCATCACCAAAGCCATTATTCCCCCAACTATTTGGTTGCTGAACCCTTCTGGGACTTTGTAGTTTTCATGAGCAAATGGATCTGATACACACATGAAACAAAGAACAACAAGATCAGACAACTACACTACCACAAAAGTCTTGTTCGGGTCGTTACAATCGTTTCTCGTTTCTTGAATACAACGGAAACGAAAAAGTTATCAAACGAAATCGAAAACGGTTCATATACCTTTGGAAAGACCATATTTCTCACTTGAAAGTGCCCAACTTGGATCCACGGCTTTGTCCACCACTGGCATGAACTGACCATATTGTTGATACTCACCGCCATACTTTCTGGTTGATGGAACCTGAACATGATAAAGAAAAACAATACCTTTAAAGAGTTTTCCTTTTCCTTTTTTCAAATGGGTTCTTCAAATTCTTGAGATGAACTTACTTCTTGAATGATAGGGGTTGATTTTGCTTGCTTTGGGGACATGCCTGATTCAGCAGCTGGTGCTGCAGCTGCCACAGGAGCTGCTTCTGCTTTGAATGAACCACTTGCCTGCATGTTTTAGTAAAAAAAAATGAATCAAACAGAAAAAAAGTGAAGAAATGATGCAAATTTTGAAGGATTTAAAGAAGTAAATGGAGATGAAGGGGTTTGATTGAGCTTGGATAGGTGTTTTTATAATTATTGCCTTGGCTCCTGTGTTGTCATCTTCAGAGATGGTCTTCTCTTCAACGTTGGATAACGACCTTCTCCTGCATTTTCCTTCCCCGTTTTGAACCATCTGTTCTTTCATCAAACAAAAAAGTTCTAGTTAGCAAATAAAAGAAAATCATGAATTCTTAGTTTCGTGTTTATCGGTTCAAGTATAGCTCAATGAATAAGATACATAAGGTCAATGTCATGCGAGCATTAAACGAACACAAGCATGAAGTTGGTAAACTAAATTGTGAGATCCCACGTCGGTTGAAGAGGAGAACGAAGCCTCCTTTATAAGGGTGTGGAAACCTCTCCCTAGTAGATGTGTTTTAAAACCTTGAGGAGAAGTCCAAACGAGAAGTCTAAAGAGGGCAATATCTGCTAGACTTGTGCCGTTACAAATAGTATTAGAGCCTGACACCGGGCGATTGCTAGTGAGGAGACTGAGCCCTGAAAAGGAGTGGACACGAGACGGTGTGCCAGCAAGGACGCTATTCCCCGACGGGGAGTGGATTGAGAGTGGTCCCACATGAATTGGAAAAGGGAACGAGTGCCAATGAAGACGCTGAAACTCGAAGGAGGGTGGATTGTGAGATCTCACATCAGTTGGGGAGGTGAATGAAGCTCCCTTTATAAGGGTGTGGAAACCTCTCCCTAGCAGACCCCAAAAGGGAAAGTTCAAAGAGGACAATATCTGTTAACGGTGAACTTGAACCCCGACGGAGTGGATTGAGGGTGGTCCCACATTGATTGGAGAAGGGAATGCCCGAAAGGGGGTGGATTGTGAGATCCCACATCGTTTGGGAGGAGAATGAAGCCCCCTTTATAAGAGTGTAACCCCAAAAGGATAATATCTGCTAGAGTTGGCGTTGACCGTTATCAACAAAACTAGAAGAACAGTGGAAAGGAACTTTTAAGGTGACCTTGGCAATTTCTGGGTCGTTCCATGGTCCCTTGTCGGATCTCATGCAGCCACCCTTGTCAGCACAGGTGCAAGTACCTCCAATGAACTCCGGAAGTTCACTGATTTACAAACAAAACAAAACAAAAACAACCTTAAAATT